CATCATCCTCTGTCACCCCTCACCCACTTTTCCACTATTCGTCCCCCTGAGAGGGGGTTCTAGTTGATCCTTGTGATCAATTTCCCCTTTCCCCCCAACCCTGCCCTAATCCTCCTGGTATCTCTACTCTCCTTGTTGGCCCTGAGGGGGTTATCTATCCTGGATTCCCTGTGTTGCAGGCTCTTATCTGTAGCAGTGTGCATGCTCTGGTCTAATCCGATTTGTAAGGTAGAATTGAAGTCATGATAGTGGGGGGAAGAAGAATGGAAAAGTGGGTGAGGGGCGATGGAGGATGATGTAAGAAATAAAAATAATCTAGAACTTATCAAGGGTTTGTGAGGGAGGGTGGGTAGGGGAGAGAGGGGGACGAAATGGGGAGCTGATATCGGGCTCAAGTGGGAAGAGAATGCTTTGAAAATGATGATGGCGGCATATGTGCAAATGTGCTTGACACACTGGATGAATGTATGGATTGCGATAAGAGATGTGAGAGCCCCCAATAAAAGTATTTAAAATAACAACAACAAAATAAAATTTAGGGAATAAAATAGTATAATAATAAAAAATTACAAATTATCAAGGGTTCGTGAGGAAGAGAGGGTGGGGAAAAATGTGGAGCTGATACCAAGGGCTCAAGTAGAAAGAGAATGCTTTGAACATGATGATGGCAGCATATGTGCAAATGTGCTTGACATATGGAGGTATGTATGGATTGTGATAAGAGTTGTGCGAGCCCTACCTCAATAAAATGATTATTTTAAAAAAAACCCCAAAGAGTTATCAAAAAATACATAGAAAGGCAAAATCGTGTGTGAATTGTCTGAAAGATTAGGAATGGGCTGCAAGGGCCAGGCCCCACCATTGTCCTCAAATAAAATGTCCAAAGGCAAGGGATACGAGGCCAAGGGCTTCACCTGGCGCCAGCCGGGTTTCAGAAGCCTGGCTTTCCCCATACCACCATTTAGAATCATGTCTGATAAGAAAATCTACGGTTTAATGTAGCCAGGGTGTGGCAAAGGCTTGAACCCATTACACTTCTCTTGTGGGCTCCAGAGGACGTCGGCAAAGGTTAATTAGTACCATTTTTATCCTCGGGTGGTGCATTCACAAATCCTCGAGCTTTATCACCACCACTATTCATTCGTTACTTATTGATCCTTTTTTATGTTTCCTACGCTCTGTGGCTCATTGCCAAGGCAGGATGGGTCTAGACTGGGGCCCAGAAGACAAGCAGCCTTTAGGGAAAGTGACCAGGCCCAGGCCAACTGTCTGTCCTGGCAGAGGCTCTTTCCTCTGAGAAGCCAGCTCGGGGTATCTGGGAAACGTTGAGATTGAAACGCACGCGTGCCTGAGGTTCTTTTCTTCAACCACTGCAGCCAGGATCAAATGGCTTGGGGGACTGGGATGCTCTCTGGTCCTCTCCAACATTTTGAGGAAGGAAAGCAAGGAGCACGCCTCTCTCCGTTAGCGTTTGCTGCGTATTCAGGTGGCGTCCTGCTTGAGAGGCAGTTATACTGCCACGTTTAGAGCTGGTGAGATTCTCTATCTGGTCAGCCTTCGAGGCAGCTGGGGCACCCTGCTTGGCCAGAAATGCACTGTGTTCTCTGCCTCGCCCAACCATCACCTTCCTGAGTGTCAGCTTCTTTGCCTTTGGTCAGCTTGTCCTGGCAGCTGGTGGCTGTCTGGCGACACTCACTGGACTCTTTCCCTTTACTGATGTTCGGGCGGCATTTGGACTTGAAGCCTCTTCCTCCTGCTCGATATTTTCTATGCTGGCAAATGTCATGAACAAATCCCAGGAGCGGTCACACCTTGATGTGTCTTTCTGTGTTGTCATTTCAGTCCCAGGCTGTGTCTGTTCATTCTGAAAAGCAGTAGGGAGGATATACAACTAAATAATATACCTTAATAGATGGCCCTTTAATGTTTAATAACACTAACATGACACATTAGTTCAAAAAGCCAGCAGCTCCAAAAGACCTACGATGAAAACTCTAGCGAATCCCCCTCCTCCCGCTCACCCACCCTCAGTTCCTTCTAGCTAGCTCTTCTCTTGGTATTTACCTCTAGGCTATTAGGAAACACCCTCATCTTGCTCTCTCGGGAATTTCCAGACGTCCCCTATGTTGGTGGAGCATGTGATGCTCTCAGGCCTCCCCACTGGTCCCTGCAGCCTTCTTCACCTGGCCTCCTGATCCCATTTTAATTTTGAAAATATTTTCCGGTTGAGCTGTTTTGTGAAGTTCATCCCAATAAGCAGGAAAGAGCTTTCTTGCTCTTTGTTGGATCCTTTGACACTACTCGAAATGGTTCATCTTGAAACATTTCTTGATGACTACATTTGCCAAGAACTGGACAGACTACCTTAGAAGACTTTCCTAGTAAACTGAGTGGATGGATCCCACATCGTCAGGGAGTGTGGGCCGAAGAAGGGCAGCACAATTCGAACAAAGCCAATGGTGGTCTTCCTACAGCTTCCAAGCTGTGGTCTTCTTAGACGGTTCACATTGACTTACATGCAAGTTGGAGACCAACATAAACTTAAGGACGAGGTCTTAGAAATCTCTGGCAAGTTGTATAGTCTTATCTGCCCTTTATCAGAAAATACATAGAAGGGCCGGGTGTTTATAAATAGCTCAGCTTTGTAAACTGGAAGCTAGCGAATGTCCTCTTTCACCTCACTCCAGTAATATTTAATCTAGCCATAATTAGCCAACCAAGGACGATTGGAAAGAAATGCCAAGAGCCCTTCAGAATTGAGTGCTCCATCTGACAAAGGACGTAATCAAGTCTTTTCTCCACCCCTTTCCCCCGGTGACTCTTGGATCATGCTTGGGACACAGGGTTCAGATGACCCTGGAAGTTCTTCTAGGGCAGTGATAAGAGCAAACCATTTCTTGGAAATTTTGTACCTCAGGAGATTAAAGTTGTCCAGGATTCCTATAGGCCCATAAATGGCAGGTTCGGTGTGGGGGGAACACAAGGAAAGAAGGGGTTTAGGAGAGGTACGCCCCAGGTGGTAAGAGGGTGGGTGAGGGTGGGATTTGGAAACATTCATGGCAGGCAGGAGAGTCCCTGGAGTGTACAAACAGTGGATGCATTCGGCTGCGAATGAAACACTGGAGGTTTCGCTCTACCAAGGAGCAACTTAAAAACCCCCAAACCCAATCATGAGACCGTGCCGTGAACCGAACTGAGAACACAGACCCCCCCACCCCCCCAGGAGAGGACAGGCTTTTCCTAAAAACCACACGTCCCTGAACTTCGGTGACGCAATCATAAAGATCAATCCAAAATGACTTCCTCAGCGTGTGTTTGAGCACTCCCATACACACCGAGGGCTGGGGCTGTTTTGGCAAAGCAAACTCTGTCCAATGCACCTATGCTTCCAGTCTAGTCCGCCAAGATTGTGCAAATACAGAGAAGCCCAGAAATGGGCAGATCATGGAAGTTCGGGGTAGAGAGGACAAGAGGGTAGGCTTTAGCTCTGGGATATTTGAGGGTAGTGCGGAAAGCTGGGGGGCAGGGGGAGGAAGGGAGAGGGGGACGTTCCAGGCTGCAGGCACAGCATGTGCAAAGGCCTCACGGTGGGACTTGCTAGCACCTGAGGAACACAAAGAAGGCCATGGGATCAGCCCAGGGTGTGAGGAGAGAGCACGGAGACTGAAAAATGGATGGACCGAACTTTCTGGGGACTGCCATGGGCACCGGGGAGGAGGGTCACTTCATGGGAGGAACGCAAAGACAGAAGTGGGAGCCCTGGAAGTTCAGAATTTGAAGTGTGAATGCCGCCACCCGGACCTGCCAAGGTGGAATGTCAGGAGGAAGGGCATAGAGGTGCTCCTGATGAATGTTGTCCCAGTGATCCGAGGTTGCCCATGAGAAGCAGCGCGGGGAAGGGAGTGGGCTGGGAGGGATGGATGAAGTATAGGCGGACCTGAACAGGCAAATGGGAGCGATCGACCAGATTGTATGGTTTGGGGCACCTCCTTACCCAGCGATCATTCCTGTCAGCATCAAGCTTGCGATTCAGGGCAATGAATTTTGTACAAGCTGCCAAGCCTGGACTTGTTTTGTTTTCTCAGGTGATTGATATGCCGGAATACAGCCTTGGCAATGTGGGAGGATCCATGAGGCTGGGAGTCAGAAGAACCATCTTCAAAACGGAAAATTCCATCTTAAGTGAGTGCCCGGGATGGTTGGTTGTCAAAAGTGGTGAGTGTTTGCTGACATGACCGAGGGCAGTCACAAGGGGGGCAGTGCCCCCCTGCCACATCCTCCTGTGCTCCTCAGGCCGCCTCGAGGCTTCCCTTCTCTGAACAGTCTGGGCCTGAGACTCAACGAGGGCGCAGTGTGACCAGTGCTCTCTCACCATCTCCGGATCCTGACTAACTCAGCGGGTGGTTTGGGGGAGTTACCGGGTGCCCCTAGAGCTTCATGGGCACGGGAGAGCCAGGATCCAAGCTCATTTCTTTACCCACTCTTCTCTCGTCTCCACTGAAACCACCCCTACTCTCATTGACTTGCTTCATGTCTCTGCTTGGTTTGTGCTCGAGGGGGCGAGCAGTTCTGTGCCTCAGATAGGGACTTCTCTGCTCCCCCAGTAGCCCCAGCGCGGGGAGAGGTAAATACAATGTTGATCTGCTATTGGTGGGTCTTCCTACTCCCAATAACCAATCCTTAACTCTGGGCAAGTTTCGCCTCCCCCCCACGTCCCCCGGATGACATCCCAAACTCTGTGCCATGGCGTCAATTCTGCCTCCTTGTGAACCCACGGAGCAGAGTAGAACTACCCCAGCGGGGTTTGATTTCCAAGACTGCAAATCCTCATGGGAGCAGACAGTCTCATCTTTCTCTCGAGGAGCAATCGGTGGGTTCAGACCGCTGACCTTGTGGTTAGCAGCCCAGAGTATCAGCCGCCAGGGCTCCTTCAGGGTGACATAGTATGAGAGGAGAAATGGATTTGAAAATCAACCAACCAGTCATCCAACCACCACAGCCCTTACTTCCATTTAATAAATCTAGCTTGTGAGTCACTGGGTGGCACAAGAGGCTCATGTCTACTAGAGGCACCTCGGAAGAAAGGACTGGCGATCTGCTTATGAGTGGTCACCGTCATGAAAACCCTATGGAGCAGTTTGACTCTGACACACAGGAGGTCCCCAGGAGTTGGCATCAACTAGACAGCCATATGCCCCGTGTTCCGTTGGAACGAGGTGCTGCAGCAGTAGTTGTGAGTGGAACAGATATCAGTCCTTTAAGCTTCCTGGAGCCTTAAAACAAGGGATGAATAGGGAAGTGCAAGGTGCTTCTACAGAGGAAGGAAATCTCGGTGTCTAGGGTGGGTGGCTTGGATGGTGTCAGCATCATCCCTGTGATATTAATAAAGCATGCTTCCCAACTTTAGGTAGAAGACCTGAAATGGGAGTTTCCCTTTTAAGCATCAGAAACAGTTAAAAAAAAAAAGAACTTTTATTGGGGGCTCTTACATCTCTTATCACAATGCACACATTCATCCAGTGTGTCAAGCACATTTGCACATATGCCACCATCATCATTTTCAAAGCATTCTCTTCCCACTTGAGCCCCTGATATCTGCTCCCCATTTCTTCCCTCTCCCTCTCTCGCCCGCCCTCACAAACCCTTGATACGATAGATTATTTTTTCTGTATCTTACATTGTCCTCTGTTGCTCCTCACCCACTTTTCCGTTATTCGTCTCCCTGGGAGGGGGGTTCTAGGTTGAACCTTGTGATCGATTAAACAACTTTCAAGGAATAGAATTCTTCTACCTAGTAAGAGTGGGATTGCAAAATGGAAAGCTTCAAGGTGCACACATCTCCCTAGTCGCTCAGCTTAAGAAACCAGTGTTCTCGAAACCACTGTTGTTTTTCTCTCTAAGAATATGAGTTTTACTGTCAGTGGATGGTGATTCTTGGGCTTTCAAATTCTTTGAAACCTCCCAATAAGGGCCAGTGTGACAACACAGTGGGCAGGGAGAACATTGTTTTAAAATTGTATCTGCTGTAAAGATTCAGCAGTAAATTGCTAAAGCATTTCTTTTTTGAAGAACACTGGGCCCTTTTTCAAGGGCTCAGGTGGCACAGTGGGTTAAGCACCTGAGGGAGAAGACGAGGCTGTCTGCTGCTTGTCATGGGTGACAGTCTCAGGAACCCCACGGAGCAGTTCTGCTCTGGCCCACAGGGTTGCTCTGAGCCAGAAGGGACTCGATGACCGTGGGTGGAGGTTTGGGATATTTAAAATATGCTGCTGTTAGGTGCCATTGAGTTGGTAGCAACTCACAGCGACCCTATTTAAAATACATGCCTTGCTGGGGATGGGGGAGATTCTGGAAGAAGTGTGACATGGGACGTTATGGGTTTTAGTCTGTCCGTTAGGACAATGAGAATTGACTCATAAAAGATTTGTTTTGCTTTAAGAAACTAAAATATAAACTTCACCATCTTGGAGAAAGGATCCTTTGGGAAGGAGTCCCTAGGTCTTAGCTGTTGAACCTTAATGTGTTTGGGTAATTAAATCATTGAGTTTCTGGGTCATGACTGGGCTGTTTGTTGAATCATTTTATTGGGGGCTCTTATAACATTCCATACATCCATTGTATCAAGCATATTTGTACAGATGTTGTCATCATTTCCAAAACATTTTCCACTTGAGCCCTTGGTATCAGCTCCTCTTCCCCCACTCCCTTCCTCCCTCGTGTATACTTGTTCAATTATATATTGTTATTATTTTTTTGTATCTTACACTGTCCATTGTCTCCCTTCACCCATATTTCTGTTATTCGTCCCCTTTGGGAGGGGGGCTATATATCCAATCTTGTGATGGGTTCCCTCTTTCTCACCCTTCCTCCTTCCCGACCATCCCCCTACCCTCATGATATTGCTACTCCCACCTGTTTGTTTTTAAATCTTACTTAATTACTTAACTCCTGCCTAATTGTAAATTAGTTAGTGTTTCAAAACGACACCAATTCTATCTGGAGGTTTGAGCACAACATAGATTCAGTGTGCCCAGTTTAATAAAGAAGCCACATTTAAGTATATATATATATATATCTTAATTAAATAATATATTTACAACTTGATCTATCTTGAGGGAAATAAGACTGATTTCAGATTCTTTTTTTACCATTTGAAAGGAAATAGTACTGGTATTTTAAAGTTTTCTTTGTTGATGTTGCGGTGAGGAACGCTTTTTTAATTGTGATACATAGAGTATATGTAACAAATGAATTTGAGTGCAAGGGGAGGCAATTTACAATAACAGGGAGCTTGGCAACAAATGCTGGAGAGTTAAAGGCAACAGAAGCAAATTCTGTTATATACACAATCCTGCCGGGGGAGGCCCTTTGAGTAGATGCTTGGCCAGACAGGGGGTGGGCAGATGGGAGGGAGAGTGGGAGTGTACCCAGGAAGGTTTGACAGAGAACATCTGTGTGTGGGTATGTCCTTTTGCTGCAGATACGGCCACAAGGCAGTGGGGCACTCAGGGGGCAAAAGGGTGAAAGTTTGAGGGAATGAGTTGCTGGGCTCAGGACCATAGCCTCTAGGGACACCAAAGTCCAATTGACCTAACATCAAAAAAAGTCATTTGACTCGTCGATCGTCTTTGTGTGTATAATTCAGTGACGTCAGTTATCTTGATCATGTTGCTCACTCATCACCAGCGTCCCAGCTTGCCCATGCCCTGTATCCGAAGCTCAGTGTCCCCGAAGCAGTGAGCTTCCACCTTTTCCCCTCTCACCCACCCACTCCTGGCCACCACCAATAAACTCTGGTCTCTCTATTATTCACCCAGTCTAGATATTTCACCGCTCTCTGGAGAAGGACAGCATGCTTGGTAAAGGAGAGGGACAGTGAAAACGAGGAAGGCCCTCAAGGAGATAACTGACAGAGTAACTACAATAATGGGCTCAAGCCTGGAAACAATTGTGAGGCTGGCGCAGGACTGGGTCAGTGTTCCCTTCTGTTGTGCAAAGGCTCCCTATGAGTTGGAACCGACTCAATGGCGCCTAACAAGAGCAGTAACAAGAAGATATTTCATGTCAACGAAACCATGTAGTCTCTGCCCCTTCGTGATTGACTTGTGTCCCCCAGTGGGGTGCTCTTGAGGTTCATCCATGCCGTAGCATATGGATGTACCACATTTTATAATCACCATGAAATACTGATGGTTTTCATGAATTTCAAACACTGCATGGCAGCGCATTACTAGGCTAATGTCTTTGGCCTGCCTTCAATTGAATTGTGCTTGTCCGTTTGCAAGACGAATGTGCTTATATGAACCTTTGCTCTTCAGGAGACCCAAGGTTCTGCCCTCAGGCCTGCCTGTGGTTTCCCACAGGTGTGACCAGGTGCCAGCTCACGAGTATCCTGGAAGTCTAAAAGAAATAGTGTAGAAGAATGTGTGCCTCTCCTCACTCGACGTCAGCACGTTTCTTTTGTGGGATGTTTTCCTTGTCAGCACTTTACTTTTGTAGGATTTTCCCCGCCTAGTCAGTCCATTTCTATGAGAATCCTATGAATGAACTGCACTGCCAACATTTCCTGTGAAAACAATGTCTAGTTTTGATGGAAAATGTTTGGATACTTAAAAAACAAGTCACTGGGAAATTGACTCTGAGGCTTGTCTACTGTATGGTGCGTATGCCCTTCATCCTGGGTCCCACTTGAAATGAGGGTGTTATTGAGCAGTTTCTGTCAACCCAGTCTAGTCCAATGTCTTTCCTCAAGCACAGTAGACATACCAAGGTGTAGTGAGGCGGGCAGGGGAACCACCTATTCCGTGGTGCAACTCTGAGGGGACCCCTAAAGAGACTGAATGATATTCCGAGGCACTACACATATGAAAAGTTACCTGAATAAGGCAGCAAAAGAGGGGCCAGGCGCTTTTGCTGACGTATGGCCATGACCATGCTTATTCACCTTGAAATTAGGAGGGGGGCCAATTTAGAGATTGCCTTGGGTGCCTGTTGCCCTGGCTATGCCCTTGCTATGCCCTTGCTCATGGCTACCCACTGTGTCAGGGTAGAACTGTGCTCTGTAGGATTTTCCATGTCTTTTGGAAGTAAATGATCAGGCCTTTCTTCTAAGGCACCCGGGGGAGAATTCAAACCTCCAACTTCCAGTTAGCAGCGGAGTGTGCTAACCATTTGCACCACTA